TGGCTGCTCGGCCGAACACGCTAGCGAGCCGGGTGTGTCCTTTCCCGCAATCCGGCGCGACTAGCCTGGCGTCTGACAACGCCTGTTAGTTGTGCGAGCGGACGCGCGGCAGCCTCCGGCATTGCCTGCCTATTTCACCACCGTTTATCGTCGTCTGCCATGCCCAAAGGACGCGGACATGAACGCTGCCCGCCGGCGTCTGTTTTCGCCTTCGTCCGTCTGCTATTCCGCCCCCTGTCTAAAAACTTTTACGACACTCGCAAGACTCGACCATGAAAGCGGACTTAGCCGGAATGGGGACAACTCTTTAATAAAGACGTTTATTTCCTCTCTCCCTCTCTAGCGTTCCATCGTGCGCGAGCGACGGTCCGATACAACCGACTCACAGCGTCTGTCGATGTGCGGTAATAACCGACCGAGAAGACTAAAAAAAGCAACAAAATAAAATGCAGTTATTTTAGCCTTTATCTACTTTTTTTTTTATTTATTTATTATTTGTTTTGCATGGCATCCGCGAGCAAGGTGGAAGAGCGTCGTGACGCACAATTAAAACGTGACTTAAAATTATTCGCTCTGGAAGGCCAGGTGCACTCGCCTTTCGAAGCGAAATGACGGGAACAAACCTGGACAAACTTGATACAAGTCAAACGCCTGATTGCCTCAAGCCAAATGGCTCGCAAAGTTTTACCGGAGTAGGTATCTCCTCGGTATTGAAACCATGGTCGCTATCACGACGGTTGCACAATTCACAGAGCAGCGGGGCCGCTTTTACGGGAACCAACATCTCTATTCAACATCAACAAGCGCAAAGAAAGAAATCAAGCCAGATCGATCAAAATAGGGAATGTGGGATGCTAGGCTTTGGTTAGTCCCGCTATGAAAGCAAGCATCCGAACAGCGTTTCCGAAGGCGCATACTGGCGACAGTTCTTTGCTACAAACTACGTCGGTTGATGAGACTCTTCTAAACACCTCTGTGAGCTCAAAACGACCCGCACTGATAAAAATTGACGAGCTCAATGAGCTACGCTCGTTCAGCACTACGCAGCTCTACAGACGCCGGCTGCCATGTTTGTTATCGTTTGAAACTGAGGCGCAATGGCTACCTCGGTATATTTTTGAAACAATATAGATTATTTATTCCTCAAACATAAAACACTGTTGATTAAAATACAATTACGGCACGGAGATAAAAATTTACGACCAACCTTTCACACGTCAATAATCTTTCCAGTCAATTAGACATGTAAGCGCCTTGTGGGCACGAGGCGGGGCTTAACGGGCTGCCACCTCCACACGCTGTGCGTCGATTGCGTCTAGTGGCGTATATTTTCCTTAAAAAATATTTTTCGTGGAAAATGTATTTAAAAACATCGTGTGTCTCTTTAGAAAAAAACTTAATGCAGTGTTCCTTTGAGCATACTCTTCACAGACTTTACTCCTAAATAAGTTTAATCTTGCCTGGGTTATCATGTGAGTTTGTTGTTTGTGCAACTCATCCTAGAACACAAAGCTCCTTGTAACCAAGCATAACTCACCATAACGCAGCATAATACGCGCACGATTTATAAAAATTATCAAGAAATGTGATTTTTTTCGCTCTTGGTGGAGCTTTTGTTTACACTTATTAAATTGTCTGGAAATATGAACTTATACTAATTCATGCATTTATTTTTTTGCCTTCATACAGCGTGCCAACGAATCCGGATGAAGCCTTTAAAGTGACCGCGTAAATCGGCTTGGTAGCGTATCGCCCTACAATTTACTACACAGGTGCCCGAAGGTGGTGGAAGCATCGCATGAAAATTTCAAAAATCAAAGTTGCCTGACTCAAAAGTAAAAAAAAAAAAAAGAAAAAAAGATAACTTATTTATTTATTTATTTATTTATTTTACATACGGCGCCCGTCTGCTATCCACGCACCCAGACTAAATTTTCCCTGCACAAAGATTTGACGTGAACCGGGGAAGCTCCTGCAGCATCGACCACGTAGCACTGTAGACAGCGAGAAAAAGAGACGGCAGCCAACGCCTTTTTGATGGCGAGGCCGTAGTGTTGGAATTTCTACGTCCCCCACACCGGACGTCACCGCGGAACAGAGATCGGACGCAAGTGCGGCCTCAGCATTCGGCAGTAACTCGTGTTTATTTATTTATTTATCAGTAGTACTAATCCTCATCGGAGGATTTTGTAAGGTGAAACTAAAAATTAAAGCCGTTTACAACTCCCTGTAAAGGGGTGTCCAAACAGGACACTACAAAACGCACGACTCCGACAAATCGAGAAAATAGAAGCGGACGCTTTTATTTTTACGATTTGTCGGAGTCGTAAACTTTTTTGCAGGAGTCGTGAAAATTTTCACGATCACGACTGCTCTCCTCGCCTCCTCCACTTTTCCCTGACGTCACACGCCACCTGTATCTGGCTCACCTCGCCAACGACCTCGCGTACCGTTGTCGCCTCGGCTCGAAGGCCAAGGGGGTCCTGCTTCGGGTGGATTTGGGACATTCCTGCGTCGAAGGGTGCGTTTCGCCCGCCTCGGATCAGCTTTCTTTGTCGAGATTCACTTTCGTCGTGATGGCGTCCGACGCGGTTCCGTATTGTGAGCGGAGGCCTTGAGCGATTGACCGACAGCCAACAGAGCGTGTGAGTGGCTCTCCGGACCCACGTGATGAGCAGAGCAAGGCCGCCGTGGAGGAAGCGAGGGGGAGATTTGACGGAGGGAAGTTTCCCCCCGGGAAGAATTGAAGGAGGGAAATTTCCCTCCGATGGCCGGAAGCGGATCGCGGCAGAGCGCGGCACGATTTGCCGGAGTCGTGAGTTTTGTAGTATCCTGTTTGGACAGGCCTTAACGCCGAATTAGAGCGCAGCTCTTGAGGAGGAGGAGGGAAGGCTACTGGGGGGTGGGTCAAGTGACCTGGGGTGGCGGGGGGGTCACGTGACGATGCCGATGCCGATGACGTCATCAGTGACGTCACTGATGACGCCATCAGTAACGATGACGATGCGGATACCGATGGCGTCATCAGTGACGTCACTGATGACGTCGTCAGTGATGATGACGATGACGATGTGGATGCCGGTGACGTCACATGAGGTCATCGGTGATGATGAAAATGACGATGCGGATGCCGGTGACGTCATCAGTGGCGATGACGTCAACGGGGGGGTCACGTGACCTCGGGGGGATGGGGTCACGTGACCTCGGGAGGGGGTCACGTGACCTGGGTAACCATCGTGACCCTAGTGAGGGCAACCCTAGTAACCCTTGTGAGGGTAACTCTCGTAACCTTCGTGAGGGTAACTCTCGTGACCCTCGTGAGGGTAACTCTCATAACCCTCGTGACCCTCGTGAGGGTAACCCTCGTGACCCTTGTAAGGGTAACCCTTTTGAGGGTAACTAACCCTCGTAACCCTCGTGAGGGTTACGAGGGTTAGTAATCCTCGTAGCCCTCGTGATCCTCGTGAGGGTAACCCTCGTGTGAGTAATCCTCGTAACCCTCACGAGGGTTACTCGCGTTTACGCCGACGGCGACGGCGACGCCGCTCAAGCCGGGAACGGGCGCCTAATGGTACGTTTACACCTGAAAAGAAATCCGCTGCCGCGGGAGCGGATCCGCTCCCGGCGGCGGCGGCGACGAGCTGGTTGTGTTTACATCTATTTCCTTCGAGCAGTGGCGGCAGCGGTTCCCGTAACGTCTCGTCAAATATGACGAGAAGGCGCGAGAGTTCCCGCCTCGGCTCTCTCTCTCCAGGGCGTTGCTGCTTCCGGAAGAAGGCGTACTCGTGACGTAGGCAGCGTCGCGCTGCGCAAGAATGTCACATCCGGTCAGCGAAACGCCTCGTTCGGCGGCAGAAATAGATCCCGGACCTATACGGCTCGCCGCCGCGTTTTCCGCCCAGCGTTTCGCCCCATCGGCAAAAGCTGGGCGGATCCGCTGGCGGATCCGGAAGTGTAAACGTACCATAAGAGCTGCGCTCTAAAACACAGATGCGTAACCACAATACAGAGAAACAGAGTTATACAGAAGGTAACAAATATGTGGGAGAAAAAACTAGTGGACGAGACATGGTATTTTCACATCAAGAGCTCTTCGATATCATTCATGAGCTGTGCTCGTGAGCTAGGGAGGACAGCGTGTTCGGGCAAACTGTTCCATTCCTGGACTGCTAGTGGAAAAAAATGAAAATTTAAAACAATTGTTTTTGGGTTGGACCTCCTTGAATAATTTTTCATACTTTGAACGATATGAACAGGAGCCCCAACCGAATGCTGACTCCTTTTCTGCTCGCCGGCGTTTCCACCATCATGTCCAAAATCGCCTCCGTCGTCCGGCACAGTCGGTTCTATACAGGACGTTCCCGGAAGTCCTTTCGGCGCCCTTCGCAGGGCGCTGTACGTTTTGCAGAAGGTTAGCGTGCCTTAATTTTAGTGCTTCCAATTTCTTGATCTGGGTCAGTTTGTTTATAATCCGGATTCGTATTACAATGTGCGCGGACACGAACGCATCGATCGTCTTCAATCGCCTACAAACTTTGCTCAGGTTCTACCCCCGCTGTCCTTCTCGTCTCGCGGCAACGCACGTATGCGCGTGAGCAACCGATTTCTGTATGAAGTTTTCAAAATGAAATTGCAAACTCTCCACTTAACACAAAACTCACGGAGGAACCCAAAAGATGCTCACCTGCTTGTCGAGAGGAATCGCGGCTGAGGAAGCGGCTGAACATGCCTGCCCAGGGTTTCTGCGCCGTGCCAGAGGCCCCCGTGCTGTCGGCACTCGTTCGAGACGTTCGCCGTGACGCCCTCTTAGACTTCCGAGAGATCTGAAACTTGAACCATTTGTTTTGTCAATTCACTGAATCACACGTTCCGACGGCGGATTCCCTTAGAAATCGATTCTACGTCATAATGCGTCCCAATGAGCCCATACCTTATTTTAGACGGTCTGAACGCGAGCAGATAAGGCTAAAGCAGGAGCGACACGTGGAGGCTGCACTCACCACGTGTCGTGCGCTGGTCTTAGCACTTCTGTTCTTGACTTTGTTTTGAATTATGTTCCCCAAGGTTTTACCTAGAGTAAAATGGCCCGAAAACATCTCGCACACTTTTAATATGTTCAGCTGGGCACTGCAAAGTGACGCAGTACTACTCGTGTAACCCAAGGCGCGTTTTGTGACCTTGGTCCCACAAGGTTTTTGTTGGACAGCGTGGAAGTAGCGCGAGGCTCTGAACGGCTTCTGAAAGAAAGACCAACCTCACTAGTTTGTTCCCTGGACGCACCACTGCTGCGGTGCATCCAGGAGTCTTTCTGAACTTGCGGCAACCTATACTCCGTTTCACCTTGAGTCCGAGCGCAGCGAGCGACGCTAGGAGCCATCCCAGCCAATCCAGCGTGGAGAGGGTGCCATGTGACCTTGAGTTCCCTGTGTCGCTCTGCCCAACCGGCAGGTCACGCGATTTTCTCCCGGTGCTGGATCGGCTGTGATGGCTCGTGGCGTCCACTGCGCTCGGACTGAAGGTGGAACGAAGTATAGCTGCGGGTCGGCGCGAGCAGTGCTCGAGCTGTCTTGTGCACTGCCACCAGTCGCCTGTGATCTAAAGTTATGGCGATGGCGTTGAACGCATCCTGAGATCGGTCATTTCCAACACTGAATCATGTCCGTTCGGCTACGGCTACAGCCGGAGGAGGGTGGTCTAAGCAGCAATGGCTATACTTCATAAACGCGTTGTTTACACGGGGTTCTTATCCTGCCAACTGATCTGAATGGCACAGTATGGATCGATTTACTCCCACGAATATATAGGCGAATACTTCTTTGTTCACCGCAAAGTTCGGGTCCGCAAACAAACTCCACCGTGCCACGCGGTCGCCTAGCCCCAACGCCTAGGGACGCGATACGTTCCACTACCTCGGTATACTGTTTTTCTTTATAACGTCTTACGCCATAAAAGTTTCTTGCTCATTTGGAACTGGCCATTCCGCAAAGACATAGCATGAATCCAGTCCCCCCTACTCTCGTTAAGAGGCTGCAGGGGAAAGAAGGTTTCTATGTAATCATACACGCCCATAGTTTCAGCTCTCAATGAAAAAGTGCGGTTTTACCCATTGGTTGTATCACGATGTAAATAAACAAAAGCAGGAAAACGTCATTCGGTGTTCAAGAACGATGCCGGTTATTCTCCCCAAATATTCGCGCCTTCGCGCGCTCTCACTGATGCTCGGCAACAGTTCCTTACTGGTATATTCAGGTTTAATTTTTTTTTTATCACTGCCGTTATTTTGATTACATTTCGTTTGAAAACTAAGCTTTCCAGAATAAAAATCAAAGATGCGAACTGATTTTTTTTTTCATTCGATTCGACTTCATTCTTTTTTTTTTTTTTTTTTGTTTAATGATAAAATAATTTTAACTATCATACTTTCAAACTTTCGAAAGAAGAAAAAAAGCTGCGTTTTGAGGGATATTGGCTTCAAAGGTCGAGGACCGCCGAGTTAAGTCAAACTCGCTCACCCAATTGAGTGCTTGTTTGGAACACTCTTCTAGAATCAAGCCAGTGCTGTAATAAAAACTACACTCGCTGTAAGCTTAACAACGAAATAGGCTGCCTGCTTATTGGTAATATGCCTTCCCACAAGTTCATCCACTGTGCGAAATAGTTCTTGTAAAAGTTAACCCCCATAAAAGTAAGCGTTTCTGCAGCGCAATGAAGCATGTTATTTCCGACGAGATAAATTGGAACTTTTCGTAATACAAATGATATCGTTTAAATATATCGTGAGATTCAAGAACCTATTTCTATAGCCGCCTCGCGCCAACGGAGGCCAGCCTACCAAAATGACAACTTGACTCCTTGTACAGATTGCTCCATGGCGGCCCTGATACCAAATTCTGCCACTGCTAAAGCGTACCTTCAGGGCTCCTAAGGATCATCTGAAGGTTCATATATATCTGGAACTCATCGAGTGAGATTAAATATATTTGAAATTTTATCGGGTGTCTCTAGTTTCAGGTTTTGACATCGATTCGGCGCGTGCCTTGTTTACCAGCTTTCGTGCTTGATGAGATGATATAAAGTCATTCACTTGAGTTATCTAGAGAGAGAAAAATGAAGAAAGAACGAGCAATTTCAATCGCGAAAGATGCTCTGACCTCGTTTAGGGCTCCCCGCAACGGGGTGTTGGCTGCCAACTTGTCGCGTGACACGAAGCTTGCCTTGTTGGGCGGAATGCTGCGAAACACATGAACGCCATCACTTTCAACTTTTACTTAATGACAGGGAAAAGTGATCCAAAACGTTTCACGTACCAGTAGAGACTCAGCTAAAGAGTTTTCTTATTTAAAGAAACAACCAGATTCCATAGGGGTGTAACGAAAAAGGCCATATCATGCAAGCATAAACGAAGTAAAAGTATAAAAAATGAAACCATGTAAGTTGTTATATTTCGATGACAAAGAACAGGGTTAGTTAAATGCCAGTAAAAGGGTACACGAGACTTAAAAGTGCTCACCACTCAAAAATGCAAACATTATATATACCAGGAAATACTAGATCATATTATGTGACAGCATATCGACATAAAATCGAACATCCCAGACGAGCGTACTTTAAACGTGTCACTATATCAATAGGAAAATTTGAAAAATATTACACAAATATCGCAAAAACAACACTATATTGAGACGACAGACCAAAATATCGCGGTAAAGAATATTTTGAAATCGATAACTCGACGATTACAAGTTTCTACCGGGGCAACATTTTCAAAGCTAAAAGTCTTAATGTTTGCTGTTGCCGTGAAGGCCAGTATTTACAGGGATACGCTAACTTGTCTAGAAGTCGGGAATCCGGGGGATTCTTCAAACTGTGTAATTAAACCAGGTTCACACGTTTACGTTGATCGACTGCCTTGCAACTGCCTCTAAACTAAGAGGACGAGAGAACACTGCCACACCGGCGCCATCTATCATGTAGCCCTCTAACCCTTCCACTCCGTTGATACCTAGACTAGAAGTTTGCTGTACCAGCGAGATCAAATCTACAAGATTGATTTTTGTCTACAAAGAAGAATTTCTTATAACGTTGTCAAAAAATGTACGAGCCCATGTAAAAAAAAATGATTCGTAAAGTCTACGCAGATCATGGGTGCTCCAGGACTACCTTATGTTTCCCTTCTACGTTGTATCACTAATCGTGGAAAAGTTCGTACAACAAGTGGCCTTCTTTTTGTGACAAGTATGCCATTTAGCAGCCTTCCCAGTATGGGTTCAAAAAGAATGGAAGCACAACTGACATTTAGAAGATTTCCCGGGTTGCACTTAGAACATATATAGAAATCATTTTGTTTTCACTGTATGTCTCGACTTAAGAAAAGCACTCGACATCACCAATCACCCATTGCAGGAAACTAGAAGCCGTAAATTTTGGAGCTTCGTTTTGTGTCTTTCCAATTATTTGTTTGTTCGTAGTCAACTGGTAAGGATTTGAAAGTATTGGAGCACCTTACTGCCATCCGATTCAGGAGTCCCTCGGTGGCCTATAATGGGGCCCCTACTTCTTAATCTTAATGTCAACGATGGAGGACACTTCAACCTATTCCTCGCGTATGTTTTACTAAGCAGACCACACGGCATTGTGTGTTTTCTGGCAATAGCTTAACCAGTGCTATTGCAAGATTTTATGATGATGTCTGCTAGTTATTGTCTAACACCAAATAAATAAGTTCCCGTAGCTCATATAAACGAACTACACTCTCCCCACAGCTATTTCTTCATTCGCTTATATTTGAACAATGTGCTTGTATTCCCCTAGAATTTGTGCCACACAACAGCATACCTCGGTATTCGTTTCGATAAACACCTAACTTGACGTGCTCATAAGGAGTATGTCGCTAAACGCCTGCGAGTAGTATGTGTTTTTTTTCTTCTATCGTCTACGCACAGCAGCTAATCTGTTATAGCGTTCTAGGGTATATCAAGCGCTAGGAGAGACATATGTTATAATTGTGTACGGGGCATATTCCCATAGCAAAAATAATAAGTTAGACAGCATACTTCATAAAATAGCTGACAACATTGCATATAGAAGAAAATGGTATAATTTACTAGCAAATAAAAAAAAATGCATTTATTAAACATTTGTTTGCCGAAGGGTTTTTTCCTGGTTTGCATTGCAGTCAAGCATTATTACAACAGTTCATGAAAATATCTTCGCCAGAAAAAAATTGGGCAATGCAACATATTTTCGATAACAAAAGTCTTCACAAATTACGGGAAACATGTTCTGGAGCACTATGCACCATACTGTTTTAAGCGATTCCCGGAAATAGGACTTAAAGCATACAATTTGAAAGAAAATTGTAGGTATTTTTTCCATAATGTTGAATATGTTGCTTTGTTGTCAAGAGTACAACTTCATACCACTGTCCGATGGCAGTTGTGGTTGTGGGCGGGACGCCCACAAGCACAACAGTGCTTTTGCGGGCCAGTGTAATTTTGTGTTTATGTATTCCTTTAATAAACATTATTATTATTATTATTATTATTATTATTATTATTTTGTCCGAGGTCTCCGCACAAAAGCTAATGAATTTTTTTCTAACGTAACCCTAACTCATGCATCTATTATTGTGCTAACCGAGACCTGGCTCTGTTCGAATATTTCTTCATCTGATCTCTTCCCACCAAATTTCACAGTATTTCGACGCGATCGCACATTCTCTACATTGAAAAAGACAGGGGGTGGGGTGCTGATAGCAATTGATACGTCGTTACAATGCGTTAGGCGTCCAGATCTCGAGACATCATTTGAGTCAGTGTGGGTAGAGCTACAATGCGCTAATGGCGAGCGTATCCTTCTCGGCTCTTATTACTTGCCCCCTGATACCTCTCCTGATGATTTTAGCCAATGTCTACTAGGCATTGAGCGCACAACCAACGCCCTTGAAAAATTTAAATTTATGGTTCTTGGCGATTTTAATGTCCCCAACATATGTTGGGAAACAGCCTCTGCGTCCTCAAAACATTACTATATTATTCAAAAATCTCATCTTTTGCTTAATTTCGCATCATTTACGAACTTAAGACAATATAACTGTATCCCGAACACCCAGGGCAACATGCTTGATCTTTGCTTCTCGGATCTTGACTGCATAGATGTAACTGAGGGTGCGTCAGGCTTGGTTCCCCCCGACGGATATCACCCCCCTTTGGAGATTAGTATACCTGTCCGACAGGGCATGAGACGTTGTTCACGGAAACATCCTGAAGGGAATAGACACAATTTTTGCGCTGGAGATTATGTTAGTTTGTACGATCATTTCTCCAATTACGACTGGTCCTCAATTATCCTGTGTTCTGACGTTGATCAACAGGTTCGCGATTTCACTCGAATCGTCCGAGAAGGAATGGATCAATTCATCCCGCTTCGTAAAACATCAGGCTCAAAGTTTCCCTTCTGGTTCTCGCACGAATTACGTACTTTAATGAATAAGAAATTGCGCGCTCATCGAAAGTTTAAAAAGAACGATACCCCCGAATTAAAATCAGAATTTGGGCACTTTAGGTCTCTCTGCAAGGAAGTTTTTAAACGTGATCGTCAGGCGTACACTGATTCCGTCGAGTTGCAGCTAACTAAAAATCCCAAAGAATTCTGGAAGTATGTTCGCTCTCGGTCCCAGAAAAAAGGTAGAGGAGAGATCACCCTGCTGGACTCACAGGGAAACTCGACGACAGATGTTTGTGAAATTTTTGCACGCCACTTCCAGTCTGTTTTTAAGCATCATCCAGTCCCTTCAACTACTGCCGCGCCAGCTGTCTCTGGGAATGCATCCTGTATTGCACTCTTTGACGAGGAGCTACTGCATGAGTGTGTAAAAAAAATGAAACCATCATTGTCTTCTGGCCATGATGGTATTCCGTCAGTCCTCTTGAAGGCATACAGTGCCATATTTATTCCTGTTCTAGTACAGATTTTTAACAACTGCCTAAAGAATGAGGTCTTTCCCGCCATGTGGAAAACGGCACTTGTTGTACCTGTACATAAGTCCGGTCCAAAAACAAATGTGTCGAACTACAGACCTATATCTCTTCTTTGCACATTTTCGAAGCTCCTCGAAGTGGCACTACACAAAATATTGTCATTCAATCTCAAGCGTTATCTTATCCCTAACCAACATGGATTTATGGCGGGTCGCTCGACCACAACTAATCTCGCCTGTTTTATGTCAACCGCTGCTCACGCCGTCGCTAACAGAGGCCAGCTTGATGTGATTTACTTTGACTTGAGTAAAGCGTTTGACATTGTTAATCATGAAATGTTACTGGCTAAACTGTCAAAGCTAGATATTCACAACTCATTGCTTTCATTGCTCGAAAGTTATTTGCGTGACCGGAAGTGCTTTGTTAGCTCGAATAATAATTTTTCTGCTACTTATGAGGCGACAACGGGTGTGCCTCAGGGCTCCGTTCTCGGACCTCTTCTGTTTTCAGTTTTTGTTAATGATGTTTCGACTGTGATTCGTCACTCTTCATTTCTTCAGTACGCAGATGATATTAAGATGTTTATGGAGGTACGAGAAGACCGAGACTGTGTTTTGCTACAGAGAGATGTTGATGCTTTTGAAGAATGGTGCCGGGGGAATGACCTAAAGATAAATAGCTCTAAAACGAAAGTCGTGTCGTACACTCGTAAGACACATAACATTGTATTCCCATATGTTATTCAGACAGACCTTTTGGAACGTATGAACAGAATCAAAGATCTTGGCGTAGTGTTTGACAGCACCTTAATCTTCTCCAGTCATGTGGATCACATCGTGAACGCAGCTCTACGCTCGCTCGGTAGTGCGTGCCGCATCACTAAAGAGTTTATTAACCCCTGCACATTTCTTATACTCTACAGTGCATTGTGTCGACCACAGCTTGAATACGCTTCTGTTGTATGGAATGGAATTTGTGCCACAAATTCCTTGAAAATAGAACGGGTTCAGAACAAGTTTCTTTCCATCTATAGACATCGTTGCTCAGCGCGCATTGTACCCACCACTACTGATGTCCCTGTCCCTGTTCAGCGTAGCGTGGCACTACCTACCCTGCTTCGTAGGAGAGAACTTGCCGATATCTTATTTTTATACAAACTTGTCCACGCCGTCACTGATTGCACGGTATTGACGTCAAGAGTACTCTTAAAAATTCCTCTAAAAACAACAAGGCAAAATGCGTCCTTCTGCAACAGGCGTCTACTCAACCTCCACGATCCTGTGTCCAGACTTGGGCATACTTATAATTCTTCTTTTTCTGAAACACTCGACATATTTAACAATAACACGCTGCAGTTTGTAAAAACGTTAAAGGCCATCACTTAAATTAGAACTGTATGCACTAACTTGCGGCGTTCACGCCGAAATTCCCCACTTTGAATGCATTTTTTTTTTTCTTTCTTTCTAGCAATTGGTGTTGGCGGTAGTACCCTTAAGCTTATCGTATGTTGTGACTTTGTGTTTACTTTTTATAATTTTTAAGTGTATTTTTCTAGGGCTTGTCCGTTGTTTGTGTTGTCCGTACTATTGCTTTATACCCTGTTCTGCCTTACATGTTAACACAGTGCACCTGTACCAAGACCGCAAGGTTGTTCCCGGGCACGAATAAAAACATTGATTGATTGATTGATTGATTGATTATTATTATTATTATTATTATTATTATTATTATTATTATTATTATTATTATTATTATTATTATTATTATTATTATTATTATTATTATTATTATTATTATTATTATTATTATTATTATTATTATTTCATTCAAGGAGAGACTTTGTCTCGAGTAAGTGTAATGAAAGATCTGGGAGTCATTGTTGATTCTGGGTTGCGTTTCTCTGATCACGTTGGTAGGCTGGTTAACTCGTCTTTGCGAATGTTGGGTGTTGCCTCTCACTTAACCAGGGAGTTCAAAAACCCGACGGCTTTTATCACGTTATACTGCTCGCTATCCAGGTCACAGTTAGAATATGCCTGAGTTGTTTGGAATGGAATTTCTAAAAGTCACTCCTTGGAGATCGAGCGTGTGCAAAAAAAGTTTGTTTCTCTCTTTAAACATCGCTACATAAAGGAGGATGTTCACTGTTTAACATATGAGTCTGCGTTAGAGCGTGTTGGTTTGCTTAGCTTGCACCGGCGTCGGGAGAACGCGGACTCACTATTTTTGTTTAAAACGCTACATGGACTCATCAATTCTCCGAGCGAACTGTGCCTTAGGGTCCCACGTGTGCCTACTCGTCTTCTGTTGTCTTGTTATGTTTCTAGAACGTTTAGTCCGGTAAACCCAATTGTGAGAATGGCTCAGCGTTTGAATCATTACTCTGAAAAACTTGATATTTTCAACCCTTGCTACAGGACGTTTGTCCTTTCTATTAAAAACTTGCCCGTGCAGGATGAGCATTGCTGAATTGCTCTGTTATGTCTGAATGTCGTCATCTCCATGTCGTGTTTTCTGGTGGTGCACTTGTTGTCCTTCGGTCTTGTGTTCCGTCTCTACTGTTACTGCCTCGTTTTTATTTCATTGTACTAATTACTCGTGCACTGCCTAGTATTATGCCTAGTATTATGCTAAAAATGTATCTTATTTTGTGCGGAGATGTGTATAGTGTTTTTGTTTTTTTTTATCCACCAGTGTACCAGCACCAAGACCTCAGGGTTGTTCCTGGGCACTGTATAATAAAGATTGATTGATTGATTGATTGATTGATTGATTGATTGATTGATTGATTGATTGATTGATTGATTATTATTATTATTATTATTATTATTATTATTATTATTATTATTATTATTATTATTATTATTATTATTATTATTATTATTATTATTATTATTATTATTATTATCCGATAGATGGAGCTAGCGTGTTCTCGCGTCGTAAGTGGCTACAAGCCTTCGCAGCACGTTCGATCACAGTCTAACCGAAATTTTCTAAACCAGCCTTAAGAGTCTGGCATCCGGGGTCTCCTGCGAATCGGACCACCGCTAGTCGGAGGGAAGGAGCTGCTCACATCATGCAGGCCGTGGAGCCCTGGTGCGGGAAGCAGTAGAACTGCCTGGAGGCGAGCGTGTAAGGCAGCTCCGGAGGCATGACCTCGTTCCAGTACTGGTCCTTGAGCAGTTCCGGGTGGTTCTGGTGCATCTCGTCCACCACCAGGTACGACACCTGGGTTCCAAGAAGATCCAAAGGACATCTCGACTTAAGCACACCTTAATTAGGAACTCGTTTAGACGTCACTTTAGGACGTTTAAACCAGGGTGGTCGATCCGGTTATTATTCCCGTTCGGTTCGGGTTCGGGTTCAGCAGCGTTTTTCATTTTGTTTCGGCTCGGTTCCGGTTCATTCATGTACGTGAAATATCGGTTGGGTTACCGGTTCCAGCAGCGTGGACCGGTTTAAATCGGTTCAAAACGCTACCTTCGGCAGCGGCCGCTTATGCATTTTATACGGCTTTTCTTAAGCACGCGCCGGTTGGGTTACCGGTTCCAACAAGCGCGAACCGGTGCAAACCGGTTCATAACTCTACCTTAGGCAGAGGCCGCTCGTGCATTTCCTACGGCTTTTCTTAAGCACGCGCTACTTGCAGTAGCCGGACACAAAGAGTAAGTGTAATGCTTTCACACCAATATATTATTGCAGAACAAAAAAAGACGTATATTTCGCTCCAAATATAAGAACTGCGCCTGATCATCACACATTTTACGCACACTATGCTCGGTTTCACAAAATGTTGTACCGCAGCGAAGGCGCTACAAAAAAAAAAAGAAAGGGATGTGTGAATATTTATACAGCACACTAAACATTACAACACCCATAATCGTGTAGAAAGGGTGTAAGAAGGGTTTAAATTAGGAAAAACACCCTTTTTACACTTTGTTTACACGATTTCTGAATACCGGTGGGTGTAAAAAGGGTGTGCTGACATCTTACACCCTTTACACGCCCTTTTTACACCCCACTTGCAGCGATGGTGTCTGAAATTCTGTAAAAAGGGTGAATGGGCGAATTTTCCGCCCTTCATTCACACGGTGTGAAAGGGGCATTATGGTGATGCAGTCGAATACACCCATGATTTCATATCCGTTAATGTTTATTGCTTTGGTGAAACTGTTGCTGATTTACGGCGGTGCAGACATCCAGTATACTTAATAGCCACACGAAGTCGCGTATAATAAGGAAGGGCTAGAGAATAGTTTTTGCAACTCCGATTGAACTCACCATCCGACACGAGCCGAAAATTACGTGTAGCGCGTGCGTCAGTTTTATCACTTCAACTTCGATTAAACAAAAAGCATCTCCCCTCGCAAAAGATGAACGAAGACGGTACAATATAGACGCTTTCAGGCAGCTGTGCAAGGGCGCCGCCATAACCGACCTTCAGTTTTTGTTCCCTCTTATTTTGTTCGTTCCACTTCATCATTACCGCAGCAGGGCAGGTTATTGCCATTTTAAATGTTACTGTGTCCTTCTTCCCAGCATAGGCCTTTGTGGAGACCCGTCAACGTCAGCTTCATTGGCTCGGCATCTCGGCAAGACAAGAGAAGGTCGGCTATGGCGGCTCAATTTGGCGCGCGCTGAAAGCGTCTATAAGGTGAAACAGAGTGTAGCACTGCTCGTGACGGTATTTTTGTTTAATATAGTGTAAAACAAAAGCTTACTTTTTTAAGGCGATCCTTTTTGGTAACATAACACAGATTATTGTGTCATTAAAATGGGGATTCCGTTTGAAACTTAAATTTCGGTCGAATGCGACAAGATGTCAGGATCAGAGTAGCGATGTGGGCGAGTTGGTTCATGCTTAGAAATAATGGAAACAGCGCGCAAACGACAAGGACGGGAGGAAAAGGAGTACACAGGACGAGCGCTGAACTGACAACTGAATATTTATTGAAAAGGACCCAACGAAGAAAACACCCACAAAAAACACACTCGCATCAACACGTGTCCATGAAAGTAATCTCCTTCTTATGTAAATACACAGAAGTTTGACTCACGCAGTTCTGTTCCCCCTCCTTCTTTATTCCATACGCTTCTAAAATTTCCCTGGCTGTTTTATCTGCTCCCCTCCCCATGATTGTGATCTTATTGAAATCAGGATGACATTTGCATGTTCCGCAGTGCAGGGGCAAATGCCCTCCTGCTGTTGAACTAAGCGACCAGTCATGTTCGCGTGCCCTTTCATTTATGCAACGGCCCGTTTGCCCGATGTAAACTCTACCACAGCTTAACGGGATCCTGTACACCACTCCGATCGCACAATCCACGTACTTCTTTCTGTGGTTTACAGTGCATTGGTTCCCACCCCCCCTCCTCTCGGCTACTTTAGAACAAACGTGTGCCAGCTTACGAGGCGCCGAAAACACGACAGGGACATCAAACCTCCCCGCCACCTTTTTCAGGTTGTGGGAAATTCTGTGCTGATACGGGATAACCTGAGGTCTCTTGCTAGGTCTATCCAGCCGCTGATGAGGTCCCCCCTTAATCTTTCTTAACAGCGTTTCCGCTACCGCCAGCAAAACAGAAGAAGGGTATCCCCCTGCTGCAAGCCGCACTGTCTGCTGTTCAAAGCTCTCTGCCATAGAATGGGGACAGGACTTATCAAGGGCAGCCTGCATACACGAAGACGCTATGCTTCGTTTGACGAGCTTTGAGTGGGCGGAGTCGAAGGGCAGAAGTCCCTTTTTCATACGAGGATGGTAGGCCCAACATACGTGACTTCCTGTGAACTGTAGTTTTAAACCTAAATACTGGAGGCAGAACCCATCTTGGAGTTCATGAGTAAACCTCAGTCCCCCAGAGTTTTTTTGCAAAAACTTCCATCACCTTTTTGACAACCTGATCCTCGAGGACCCCCCCAGACGATTTAGTGAGCACGAGGTAATCGTATCGTAATGTCACACGTTGTGCAAGGTGGTGAGGTAAGACCAATCCCAGATGCGTCCAGAACAATGTCAATGGCGGAGGAGAACTATACCCATATTGAGAAGAAAGCCCTTGCCCTGATCTTGGGCATAAAGAAATTTTAGTTCTAGTGTTATGGTCGTGCATTCACCTAAATCAGTGACCGTAAGCCATTACAGACGATTCTCGATCTGAAGAATGGAATCCCGACTATAGCTGCAGCAAGACTCCAACACTGGGCTGTAACTCTTGCAGCTTACAAGAACAAACTTGTCTACAAAACGTCTGCAGAAAACGTGTATGCGGACTGGTTTCTTTTTTTTTTCTTTTTTCTTTAGGATCTTATTATAAATAACCGATGTTGACGACAGTTCAGACAAGACATTTTACACACTCCGTTTAGCGTCCGTACCTGTCACCAGCAAGGATATAGCACGTAAGACACAGCGTGACCCAGTCCATGGCCTATAAATGTGGTTAACCTTTCTTAATTGGCCACGGCCAACCAAAAAAGGTTGGCAGTCGCATCTCGACGATAAACAACTGAAACCCTATTTTCACAGGCGCAGGGAGCTCACTGTCTACGAGCGGTGCCTGATGCATGGAATGCGAGTGGTCGTGCTACCGAGGCTCCAAGGACTTCAGGCAAGCTCCTTGCTCCGCACAACGCCTGTGTGTCGTGCTTGCCTGAAGCTACCGGTTTGCGAAAAAGGGGATGAATCAGACATATTTTGAATATATTTATTACGCATATTTGTTTCGTAATAGGTTTGTATATTTCTGGTTTACGCTCAAAGATATATTTGTTTTAAGCTTTAAACCGTTTTAAGCTTTAAAGAGTACTGGAGAACAAAGGTGTACTTGGAGTACACTTTTATTAACAGTAATATAGATACACTTCCAAAAATATGCTTGGTAGAAGAGCGTGTTGGTTTAAGTCATGGACGAAGAAAGAATAAACAATTAAAACAATGACCACAGCAAAAAATAACGTGTCAAACCCTTCCCTCCTGCTGACGAAAACTGAGGTTGAATTTTTGAAATCTGAGATAACCCTACCACCCTGACTTGCACTTCGCGTGTTTTATCTTTCCTTCTCTCCACTTCTCTCCCCTACTTCTACTGGGTATAGTCGGCTGCTCGCTGTTGAAAGTTTACTCGTCTGTTGCTAGTTGAAAGATGTGGTTGTGTTGTCCCTGTTTTAATTGTTTATTCTTTCTTCGTCCATTCCAAAAATATACTTTTAATAATAAGAACTGTATATTCTAAATGCACTCGAAGTACATTTGGGCATACTTCAGACGTAATATGTTTTGCTATGGGACGTATGTTGGCCCTCTGCGGAGAAAGACCTGGAAAAACAAGTGAATGTATGGCGTGCCAACAACAGCGCCACATGCCACAAAAAGCACCATTGCACCCTTTCTCGTAGCCCACGCGACTGCGGTAACGGGAACATGTCGACTATGCGGGCTCATTGCGCGACCGTATGCTACTAGTCGTTGTAGACGCATATTCCAAATGGCCTGACGTTTACGTCACGACGTCTGTGTCTGCAGAAGCAATGATAGAGCGGTTGCGCGAATTGTTCACTCGGTACGGTGCGCCGGAGACACTCATGTGGGGGATAATGGCATTTGGGCATTACATCATCCGAGTTTGTAGTGTTTTTCAACGAGCACGCAGTGCGGCAAGCTTTAACTTCTGCCTATCATCCCAGCAGCAACGAACTTGCTAAAAGGTCTGTGCAGACACTAAAGAATGCACTCCGAAAATGCCCTGCAAACGAAAATACGAAGACGTTATCAAATTTTTGATGGCGTACCTCAACATTCCCACTACGCAAGAAACTCCATCTTTTTTTTTCTTGGTCGTCTGCCGCACTCGCTCGGACGTAATGAAGCCATCACTCTAGCGTACTGTACACAAGCACGTCAATGTCCACAATCATCGAGGCGAGGTGGTGCCTGCGTCGTATTTTAAGTAAACTATGAAGTTCTAGAGCGTAGCTCTTGGCGCCCGTTTCCGGCTTGAGCGGCGTCGCCGTCACCGTCTGCGTCACCGTCAGCGTAACCGCGCGTTGCATTATGGGACGTTTCCCATAATGACGTCACACGTCACGTCACGTATGACGTCACGACGGCAAACTTTTTCCGCTAAATTTGGCGTTAAATTTCTCCGCTAAATTTAGCCGAAAAAGCTTACCCTCGTGACGTCACTCGTGACCCTCCTCTCCGTACCCTACCCTCCTCCTCATCAAGAGC